AAAAAAAAATTAATTCTTTTCTTTTGTCAGAAATCCAATATCAGAAAGCAAATGAGGAAAAGTGAAGATGAAATTGAAAAATAATAAACAAAACTATACTTTAATTGATAATTTGAGTTAATTTGTTAATAATTTAATTTTTTATTTATTAAAAGGCTACAGAAAAAAAAATTATTACAATTATAAAAATAAAATTATATATATATATATATATATATATATATATATATATATATATATATATATATATATATATATATATATATATATATATATATATATATATATATATATATATAAACTTGCATTCTTGCAACAAAAAGTTATAATTCGAGTATATCAACTTTAATCGATAATTTTTTTATTTAAAGACAAAAGAAAATTACATTTATACTCTAACATAAAAAATCATTAGCAGTGAATTTTTACTTTATTTAAAAGCGTTTTAATAATATAAAAGCATTAGAAAGTTTAATTCAAATGGCTGTCTTTAATTCAAAAGTTTGTCCTTTTTTCTTCTCAACAAAATCTTGTTGAATGTATTAACTTTAATGATTCTTAAATAAACTTTATTAAAGAGACAATTGTTGTTTAAGTCGTCGTGGTTAAAGTCGTTGCTTATAAAATATAAATAATTAAAAAATAAATAAGATTAATTATATAAAAATCTTATGTTATTTTATTTAGTAATTATATAATTATATATATTCAAATAATATAAATAAAAATTTATACAACTTTAAATTGAAACGTTAACAGGAACTGTTACTTTATTTAAAAGCATTTTCCTAACACAAAAATGTTAGTAAAGATAAAAGTTTCTTAGTTATTAATTTTTGATGTAATTAAAATTAATTTTTTTTCAGCGCATTTTTTAAATGTTAAAAACCATGGTCAAATTGTCAAAACAAAGTATTATTTGCGTGGTCTTATAATGGCGTGTATATATATAAAAAAATATATATATTTTTGGTGTACTCTCATGGTCGTCCGGTGACGTGGGACAATTTGTTTTCTCCAAGCGAGATTGAAATTTTAAAAAAATGCCTGTCAGTAGCCTGGCAGGGTGACAAGACAGTTTGTTACTTACAAAAGTGTGTGTTTATTAATAAAATTTTATTTTGATCTATAAAGATTTTATTCCTTACGATTATTTAAAAGAAAACTTTAAAAAGCATTCAAAGTAGCATACACTTTGTTTAACAATGAGTACACTACAGTGCGTTATATAGTTTTACCAAACCTAATAAAAAGAAGCCGACACGCAATTTATTATTTCGAAGTGCGACTGTACTGATTTTTTAAACATAGTTGTTGCATTTTGAAGATTTTGAAGCTTCTAAATTTAAAATAATTTTTAAAGTTACATTTTCTTTCATTCTTAAATGCTATTTTCTTGTTTTTTAAACCTTATAGTTGCATTTTGCGTCACGTGAACAGGCAGCTAAATCTTTAACACTGAATCTCATTAGTTTTTCATTAGGTTATACTTTGTCAAACAAAATTAACGAAATAAAAAAACATTAAGATGCACGTGAAAAAGCATTATTAGAAGGCAATTAATGATGCAAGTGGAAATTATTTTTTACTAAAAAAAACTTTTTATAATGAAAAATGTTCAAAACATTAAAAACATGTTTGAAAACATTAAAAACATTCAATTAAATTAAATTTGATTAAAGATTGAGAGAGAATAATAGAATATTTTTCTATATATAAAACGTTTCTTAGCAGTTTTGGCTTTCAACATTTTTGCTTCATGTAATAAAATCTTTGTTAAGATTGGCAAAAACAAATGATAAGATACAGATATCGACTACAACAAAAGTGACAACACATCTTTAATTAATTTAATTAATAAATTAATTTACTTTTAAATAAACCGTTTTTTATTAGATGTATTTTTGTAGTTGGACATTTAATTTTTTTTTCATTGTTATTTTAACCCAAGAAGAAGTACAAAAAAACTTTTACACTGGACTACTGATTATCATAGCGGACGACTCAAATAAGAAATAAAAACTTAAATTTAATTTAATTATTAAATTTTTTTCATTATACACTGTGTTTCATCTATAAAGGCTCATCAGAAATGGATTCATTCCTGTTGAGTCTTTATAAATAAAACACAGTGTTTTGATGAATATATGAATAAGGAAATTAATCTCTTAAATCTTGTAAATTACTGCATATAGAATAAGCCCTGTGACCTTTAAATATTGCGTTTAGTATCTAAAAGTTTAATTTGAATATTTTTTATGGCTTACTTTCTGTAAACTTTAAACTTGTATTTACTTTTGGTGTTATTTATTATGATTAAATCGAGGAAGTTTAGAGTTCTATTTTCACTTTCAATTTCAATCGTTTATTTTATTGTAGGGTGTTGCTTGGTCAAGATAATTTTAAATTGTTCTGTTTCTTGAGTGTTCGAAAATCTAGCGCACCATCAATATATCTTATATAGGATTTTAGGTTTAGATAGGAAATACCAACAGGTTAAATTGGTCTATAAGAATAAAAGTGGTTTCTTTTAGTGGAATAGATTGCAGGTTTATTACATCAAATGAAACATGAACCTCGTTTTTGTCAATCTCTATTGAATTTGCTTTACTAATAAAATCAAAAGAATCTTTTAGATATGCTTTATTTTTATTTAAGACAGGTTGTATTTTTTTTTACTAAATAGTTAGGCATTCCATAATTAGGAGTGCCTATAGTTGATGTAACAATTCCTATATGATTTTTAAGGTTTGTGAGCTTTAATTAGACCATACATATGAGAAAAGATGAGATTACTTAGATAAATATTATCATACTCTGTTTTTGAAAACCACTGTTTTTTATTAAGTTGTGAGAGAGTTTTAATTTTAATTGCATAACTAGTAGTGGGATCTTAAATTTAAAAATCGCAAAAAACTATACTGTTCTATTCTTTTGAAACCATTACCATTGTCAAAACGGATATATATCAATTAGTTTGTTTTCCTTAATTTCCATAAAAGCTGTTCTGTGTTCTCTGTTAAGTTTTGATTAAATTTTTTTTTTTTTTTTTTTTTTTTTTTTACCTTATTTAAGCTCTTTTAAAACATTTTTTCTCAATTCTTTTGCTTTTTCAATCTTGTTGTTATATTTTAATTTTAAAGCTGAGTTCTCTTCTACTTATTTAATTGAATGTAAATGAATAAAAAAGAGCACACCAATAGATGGTTTTACATTTAATTCCAGAAACACTACAATATTTAAAAAAATGCTGCAGTCATTTAAATAGCAGTGGTTAAAAATGCTGCAGTCATTTAAATAGCAGTGGTTAAAAATGCTGCAGTCATTTAAATAGCAGTGGTTAAAAATGCTGCAGTCATTTAAATGGTATCTGAAAATGAAGAAAAGTAATAATTTTTCTTGTGTTAAACATTAAAAAAGTTAATTTTTTAACATTCAAAAATTAAAAATAAGTATAATATAATAATATTTATCCTTTGTATTTTGTTGAAAAACTTTTGTTTTGGATGACTGTTTTGTAATTGCAATTTTTGCTGATGCATTGAGTCATCTAAGCATTGACATTTTTCTGCGGGTATTGCGTACCATCTTTGTTGAATGTCCTATAACTGCTGAGCATTAGTTGGATTAGTAGTAAAAACTGCTTTTTTAATGTCTCTCCATATGTTTTTAATGGGATTTAGGTCGGATGATTTAGCAACCCCATTGACCTGAAACTTTTTCTTTGTCTTGCAACTAGTGTATTTCAGGTTGTTGTCTTGTTGAAAGACCCTTTTATATCTTCATTAGCATAGGGCAGAATGACATTGAGGATGTCGACATAGATATGTTGGTCCATGATACCATTAATCTTATAAATAGAACCGTCATACCATAACCCTATACCATGGCTTTGGCTTTACTACATTTCATAGACTTAATGGTATATTTTTTTTCTAGAATTCTGTATTAGTTGGACGTCTTATATATTGTCTACAACCTGTAACTCCATAAAGAACAATTTTCAATTCATCTTTCATAATAAGTTGCGCCACTTTTTTATGGGCCAATTCAGGTGTTTGTTCGTGAGTTGCAAATGTTTAGTGGTATGTTTTTTGTCAACTAATTGACCTTTGGTGGACTGTGTATATATAAACTGTTTTTTCTTCACTTGTAATTCAAGATCATCTTCGACTTGCTTGGCTGATGAAAATAGTTTACTTTTAGCATATCTAACAACTCTTTGATCTTCTTGTGCAGTTGTCCACTTCGTTTTTCAACTTTTTGTTTTATAATTTATGGCATTTGAAATTATCTTTGAAGAATATCCAAAAATATTTTTTATATATGAGTAAGATATACCCTCTTTATATTGCTTTAAAATAATGTTGCGTACTGCTGGTGTATAATGCTGTCCTCAGTCTACTTTGAAAGGTTCAAAAAGTACTTTTACCATTAAGCATACAATTAAATTAAGAATATATTATAATTGAAGTAATACTTACTTTTCCTATAAATATTACGAAAATCTTTATAAACTAACTTTAAAATCAATACAACATTTTATACATTACCTCAATTGCAATAATTTTATCAAAAATAACGATATTCTTGGATGTATTAAATTCTTATTTGCTCAATTTACTTATCTCATTCTAATATATACACACATACAAAATTAATTTTTATATTATACAGAAGGAGAAATGAAAATATGAATAATTTTTTAGTAATGCTAGTGCCCTTATGCTACATGTTATGTTTTATGTTTGACAATAATAATAAACTGCCAGGTTTAATATATTTTCTGTGTAAAAGAACTTTAAAAAAAATTCTCTAACCCTGATACTTAAATTAAAAAAAAAAAAAATTTTCTAAATATTTCAAAAAATAAAAAAATTATTTTATAATTTTATTTTAATCATATTTTTATATTTCCAATATGAATTTGTGTATAAATTTATACAAAAATATAAATCTTTGTATTAATTTATTTTTAGTCATTATTTATTTATTTTTAGTCAATCAGGCAAGTAGCCAAGCAGTTATAAGTTGTCAGCAGCTTACAGAACCTATTGGGCCAACATCTGATTTTTCTCGTGTATCACATCAACTAGACAATTTTTCTATCGCTCAATCTGGAATTCGTACAATGTCTTACTCTGCTGTTGCCAAAGTTCCTAAAGTGAGCCAGTCAAATAAACCCCAAAATCAATCTTTAGTTCAACAGTCTAATGTTATTTCCATGTCAACATCATTTAATGACACTCCTATTTTGAATTCTCCACCTGCAAATAACTCACCACACCAACTAACTAATAATTTAAATTCATCACCAGAAGCTTTTTCAACTGCAAAGCAAAAAGTAAACCAAAATTCAAAAAACTATGCATCGATTGCTTCCAATGTTGTTGCTCAGCAACAGTCTGTAAAAGAGGCAAAACATTTAGCTAGTTCTGAATGCAATACTAATAATGAATCTATTTTACCTAAACCTCAAGAGCAGTCTAAATTTATTGTTCAGGAGCGAAAAACGTTACTTCCAGAACAAAAAGAGTCTCCTCAATTAACAGTGGATCCATCAAGCACAAATGTCAAACTTAGTTTAAATAAATATGGAAAAGTTCATTCGACACAAAATGCAGATGAGGGTATTTTTTATCACTAAAATGATCTTTTTAACTATAAGTTTTTTAACTATAATTTTTAACTATGAGAATTTTATTTATTTTTTTATTTTATTTAGTTAAACCAAATATTAATATAGGAACAAGCTAAAAATGAATATAAAAATAATTTATTTTATAGCATTGAAGAATTTATTTTACAGCATAAAAGAATTTATTTTAGAGCATAAAACAGTAGATGTCAATGAATTAAAAGAGTTTGGACGGGATTTTAAGGTTTTTTGAAAATTAATTGAAATTTGTCATCTTCCTTATTTGTTTCCTTTTTCCATAAAATCAATAATGTAATGTTTTTATATGATTTAAAATCATATAAAAACATTTCTAGATTTTTTCATATCTACAATCTCTTCTAAATAATTGATGTTGAAAATGATTATTTTTAGTTAACAGATAAGCCTGCAAAAAAAGTATCGAAAACACGAATATTTCCTACCAACACTCGGGAGACAAATGAGTGTCTTCATGGAAATAATGGTTTAGAGTTTTTTTTTTTTAATTTTTTATAATCTTATTTTTGTGTAACTTTTAACCTATCTGAATATGTACCATATAACAAATACATATATTGTGTGTGTGTGTGTGTGTATATATGTATGTATCTGTGTGTGTGTATATTTATCTATGTGTGTATATATGTATCCATGTGCGTGCCTATATATACATACATATATATATATATATATATATATATATATATATATATATATATATATATATATATATATATATATATATATATATATATATATATATATATATATATATATCGGTTTAATTTTATCAATTTTAGTTATTTTTTAGCTAAGCCTGTAGTAACAAGTGAAGGTAGCGCACCAATCATAACTACTCTAGTGACAAGTATTTCTTCCACAACTACAGTTAAAACAACAGCCAATGTTGTGATGTCTTCAGAAAATATTGTTTCGTAAGAATTTAGTTTTTGATTATTTAACTTGACATTATTTATTAAAACAATTAAAGAAAACTTCATATTTAGTTAAATAATTTTTTTTAGATAAGTGTTCATTTAAATATTTTTATATAAATTATATCTAAAGTACTACTACTTCAAATATAATTTACATTTAAATTCTTTTTTGGAAAAATGCAACAAGCATTTTATTATTTTTAATTTTAATTTCATATATTATTTAAAAAGATATATTTTTTTCTTATTTCTATTAATGAAAGTTAGTACAATACTCTTATTAAAAATATTTTCAATAAGAGTATTGTATAAATTATTATCTCCAATATTTTTAGAACAAAAATAAAAAATGTATATTTTGATGGATTTTTTCGTTGATATGGAATAAACTTTCATAAACATAAAAACAAAAATCTAACTTATTTTGGTTGATGAATAGCACAATTTAAAAAATAAAATCAAAAAAAAAAAGATTTTTTAAATTTAAATCAAACAATCGTTATGAGATTTCCACCACATGGCTTTATTTTTTGAACAATGTTATCATCTAATGTTATCAATCAGTTTTTAGGTGCTGGTTCTGTTTTAAAATCAATCAAAAGTGGAAGACAATCTAGATTCTTTGAAGCTACAAAGTCCATTCCAATCTGCATTGATGTTAATAATTGCCAAGTCTTGAGTCAATAGATTGAGAATATGAGCTGAACATCCATATGTAATGACATTAACATTATGTCAAGTTTCCAATTGTTGTCTCATTTTTGACACATTTGTTGCATTATCAGTTAATATACTGCAAACTTTACAACCAAACTACTTTTTTGAATTTTTTTATAGAGATAACAGCAACATCAACTTGATCATGAAGTAAACCTGAACAGTTAAACTGTTCTTATTAACAGTATCTAATAGTTTTAGTTTTTTTTATTTTGTAGTTTTAATAAAGTATAAATCCAATTTAGTTGTCACTGTCTTGCTTTGGTCTCGACACTTGTCACTGTCATGCTTGGTCTTGACACTTGTCTTTTGACATTTTTCTTAAGAGAACATTGACTAGTTTGTGCTTCCTCAGTTGCCTGGTTAGAATATTCTACAGTGCCTTGACAAATATTGTTTTCATCACCTTGAACATCTTTCAAAAAATTATATTTAACACTTAATATATATATATATATATATATATATATATATATATATATATATATATATATATATATATATATATATAATATATATATATATATATGTATATATATAATATATATAATATATATATATATATATATATATATATATATATATATATATATATATATATATATATATATATATATATATATATATATATATATATATATATATATATATATATATAATATATATATATATGTATATATATATAATATATATAATATATATATATATATATATATATATATATATATATATATATATATATATATATATATATATATATATATATATATATATATATATATATATATATGTTTATATTCACTCAAATATTATTAAGTTAATAATAATAGTTAATAATTAATTTAGTTAATAATATAATAGTTATAAAGAAAATGTTAGTTATAATAGTTTGTACAATTATAAAATATCTTCAAAAAAACACAATAAAACCCAGATTACCCGGGTTTTATTGGGTGGGTTTTTTAATGCTAACACTGATTTAAATCAACTGATAAAGTACATAAAATAGTAAATAAACATTTTTGTAAATTAAAAAATGTATATACATGGGCTATTCTAGACCATTTTCAACAGGGTCAACCGTATTTAAGTTTTAATTTTTTTTTTTTTTTTTTTTTTTTTTTACAGCCAAAATTGTTTTTATTGCTTAAAAAGCTCAGATTTTCTGCTAAAATCTACCGAAATAAGAGGGGTTACTGCCACCCAAATTTTTTTCCTAGAATAGGCCCTGATATATATATATATATATATATATATATATATATATATATATATATATATATATATATATATATATATATATATATAAATATATATAAATATATATATGTGTGTATACATATGTATATATACACACAGGCCTCGGCAGGAAGAAATGAGTGCAAGAGCGGCAAAAAGCAATTAAAGGGACTACCAAGTCCCGAGACATGTTGTGTTCATATTAAAGGGAATGTTAAGAGACATGTTGTGTTCATATTAAAGGGAATGTATAAAAGCAAATTTATTTTGATTAAAACTAATTAATAAATGTATACCAATAAAAACAAATCTTGTTGTTTTAGTCGAAGCTCGTCTTCTCCGTTTTCTCTGGTATTTTGAGTATGTAAAATAAACGTGATTTTCCAGGCGCATTATAACGTGATTTTCCAGGCGCATTATAACGTGATTTTCCAGGCGCATTATAGACTTGATAATTTATTCAAGCACGTTTAATTCATAGGAGTTTTAGTGCATGACGTCATAGATTTTTTTTTGTTTGTTTAAAACACCGATTGTTATTTTTTACATAGAATTTCCAAATCATATTCATTTTTATTATATTTTAAAGTTCTAAAATGTGTTTGTAAAACAAAATTAAAAACAAAATAAAATTAAAAACAAAATAAAATTAAAAGCAAAATAAAATTAAAAACAAAATAAAATTAAAAACAAATAAAAATTAAATTAAAAAATATAATAAAAAACAAAATAGTATTTTATTTGCGCAACTTTTTTTAAATAATCGTCTAGACCATGTGTATTTTGATTTCTTTTGTTATAAGTTTTTCTTTCAAAATATTAGATAAAATAATTTTTAACCTAAATAATAATGCATTTTTATTAATTTACTTTGTAAATATTTAAAAAAAAATTATTAATGCATTTTTTCTCTGATTTTAAAAAATGTATTTTTTGGTATTGAGGTGATCTTATTTCATTATTTATATTTCCATTATAACATCCAATATATATTATGGCGGGGGCTTAAAAATTAAAAAGTTAATATATATTAATTTTTATTTTACAGACATACATGGAAACATAATTAACTTTAATGTTCTTGCGGAAGAATAAAAAGAATTTTTGCGAACACTAAAAACCCGCCAAATTTGCGAACAAACTAATTCTATTGGTTCAAAAAACACGCTGACTAAGCGAAATAAAGTTCTAGAGTATTCTGTTGAAATGTTTTAGGAATTGTATTATTTACGATTTGTTGCGTTTTGAGATATCTAGCATAAATTTTTTTAAGTATATATTATCAAATGAACTATTACTTTAATATTATGGCTCATTCTCGGAGCCACATCTGTAAAGCCGTAAAACTTTTAAACTATTATCATTTGTTTACAAAAATAAATGTTTTATAATATATAATTTTTAATAAAAAAAAATTTGCTCAGACGTTTTTTTTTAACATTCTCTTTAATATGAACACAACATGTCTCGGGACTTGGTAGTCCCTTTAATGATAATTAATATGCCATAACCTAACGATTGTATATTGTTATTCATTGATACTAAATAATTAATTTTTCTCAATTTAGTTCGCTAAATTTATTTACAAATAAAGAAATGTATAAACCTGAAGAAATTAAAATAAAAAGAGCTAATTATTTTTAAAAAATTACTGAAAAAAAGTGTGTTTTTTAAAAATTTGAGGCAAATGCCAATCTTTGCATATGCAAAAATATAGAAACTTGACATTTGTTTTTCTATTTTTTTTTTAAACAAAAGTTTAAAAATAAAACAGAAAAATAAACGTTTGTTGATTTTTTGCGCCAAGACAAGCATATGTTTTACGCGTTAATATTACAAGAATTTTTACTTAACGTTTATTGCAGCATGAAAAAATTCTTCTGACAAGCGTTGTTTTTACTACTTATAAAAAAAGTTTTATATTTTCTTATTGTAATAGAATGCAGGCATTTTAAGAATTATTAAAAATAATTATTAAAATGACTGTGTTTTTTATTTTAGTTACAATGTTAATAAGATTTTTGAGAAAAAATTATACTTTTGCGAGAGCCATAAATTGCTCCCGTAAACTGTTTTAGGTAAGTGTAGGCGAGAGCGAGAGCTAAAGCTCTTGTTTCCCGCCGAGGCCTGTACACATATACATATATACACATATACATATATACACATACATATATACACATATACATGTATACACATATACATATATACACACATACATATATACACATATACATATATACACATATACATATATACACATATACATTTATAACCCTCGGAATTAGGAAAAATGAGGTCGGCAATAATTTGCTTACCTCAACCTTTTAGAGGTCGGTATCAGGTCAGCAAATATATATATATATATATATATATATATATATATATATATATATATATATATGTATGTATATGTATATATATATATATATATATATATATATATATATATATATATATATATATATATATATATATATATATATATATATATATATATATATGTATATATATATATATATATATATATATATATATATATATATATATATATATATATATATATATATATATATATATATATATATATATGTATATGTATATGTATGTATGTTAGTAACTTTTTGACTAATTTTTTCAGACAACCCTAATCACTTACCTTCATTCCTTGATTTTTCTCTTGTCTTAGACCCCAGCTTGTGTTTAGTTTCTCCTTTTCCTCCTTTAGGTAGTTCTGACCACCCAATAATCTCTAAAAATCTTTCAACTTGTATTTCTTCTTCTGACTAACTTTTTGTAGTTTTCACTTTCTTATGCAGCTGCTATATCTAATTATATTCATTTTTTCATCTTTTTCAAAAGAACTACTCTCTTGGAAACAAACAACTAGAAATCTATGTAAAAAGGTGCTGTCTTATGCTAAGCTCTGTTAAGATGTGATAGCTAAAAATCTGGACAAAGTTTTATTTGATATAAAAATATGAAGGAATAATTTATTAAAATTGCAACCACATTAATTTAGTTACAAATTTCACTTTTTATATGTATTATTAACAATTTTTAGTTTTATTTAAAAAATGATAAAAAAAGGCTTATGGCAAAGATTCGCTTAGAAAATGAGTGTATGCATTTTTTATAATATGCATCCAGATGATTTACATCATTTTTGAATGAAAAACATCCCAAAATCCATTAGGTATAATATACTAGAAAAAAAGGAGAACAATAAAGGACCAAAAAGAAAAGTTGGAATTGATCACAAAGCAAAAAAGATCTAAAAATCAGATAAAGTATCATTAAAAATTGACTAAAGAATAAATCTAAAGAATGGTATTTCACAACGTGGTCTTGCAAAATGATTTAATGTATCATAACCGTTCATATGCAAAATTATCAATACTATTTTATCATATAAAAACTAAAACACCTAAAAAACACTGGCGCAAAAAGCAGCTGTTTGTTTGAAATGATGTAGATTAATTTGGATTTTCCAGAAAATATATAATTGTTATTGACGATGAATCATTTTATTTAAGCAACACCAATATTTCTCTAAGCGCTGGATTCTTCTCTTCTGTAAGGTTGAAATTAAAAAAACTTATTTGAGCCAAAATTACTCATTTAGAATGCATTCTCAACAAAAGGAATCTCTCAGCATTACATAGCTCCATCAGGCCATGCAGTCAATGAAAATGAGTATATTTCAAAATGTCTTGTCAAATTAGAGAAATTTATTGAAAAATATCATAAAAACGACAGCATCATTTCTTGACCTGATCTTGCATTGTCAAATTACTCATGTAAAGTAAAGACTTTCTAAAATCAAAAAATATTGAATTTGTATCAAAAGTGCATAACCCTGCTAGTTTTAAACTTTTAAACTTAAAAGATTGGTGTATTGTAAAAATTGGCAAGCTAAAAATCAAGATTAACTTAAAAAATGGATTGAGTTTTTAATCAAGAAAATGGACATAAAGCAGGTACATTAGCTAGTTGCTGCAACATTTACAAGAGTGGATACTGTTTGTCGTCATGCCATGAAAAACTTATAAATTCATTTAACTTTATTATTTAGACTTTTTTTGTTATTATACTTTTTAAATTAATAAATTTGATCATTCCATTAAAAATTTTTACAATTTTTAGTTTTGTCCAGGTTTATCACATGTTATTCCCAGTTCACTAAATCTTGCATCTTATTTCAGATGTTAGGCTCTAGAGACTTTTGGAAAATCTTCAACGGGCCATTAACAAAGGTAGGTCTAACATTCCATTTTTCCATCATGGGACTGATCTTATTACCTCTCCCAAGTATAAGGCTGAACTATTTGCAAAGAACTTTTCTTCTAATTTGACTCTTGGCTTGGCAACTCTTCCTTCCATTCTAGTTAAATAGTTTATCACATTCTTACCACTTAAATCATTCCAGTTTTTGTTGCAAAAGTCATATCTTAATTGAGCTTTTCTATGGCTTGTGATCAAGGCAATATTCCTGTCATAGTTTTGATAAAGTGATCTCCAGAACCCTCTTTAATTCTCTCTAAATTATTTAATAAGTGCTTGACTAAATCTTGCTTTTCTACCTATTAGAAAATGGCATCTGTGGTTCCAGTTTTTAAAAAATTTGGAGAACATTCTGACCTCTCAACTATTGTCCGATCAGTCTTCTATTTGTTATTAACAAGGTTTTTCAGACTTTGATCAACAAATTTATAACATCTATCTTGAGTCAAATAACTTACCGTCAGACAATCTATACAGTTTTTGATCTTCTCACTCAATAGCTCTGACTTGCTAACTGGTGTGACTGAAAGATTTTATTAGGCATTAGATGGAGACGATGAGGTTAGGACACAATTGCTCCATAGGCTTGCTTCTTATGGTAAGTATTACCATAAGAAGCAAGCCTATGGAGATTATTTTGAGGTTATCAAATCATTGTTTTCTAACCACTTTATTAAAGTCATCCTTTAAGGCCAACACTCTTCTTCATTTCCAGTAATTTTTTGGGGTACCTCAAGATTATATCCTTGGTCCTGTTTAATTTCTTATCAACCTTACATTTAAATACCATTTTCTTATTCTTGATTCCATTCTCTATCTCTATAAATCTCTTATTCGTCCATGTGTAATACTGTTGTCATATTTTGGCCGGTTCTTCTAATGATGGTCTCTCTCTTTTAGACAAGGTCCAACAAAGCATCCTAAATGTTGTTGGACCTACTTTATTTGTCAGGCCTGAGTCTCTCTCATCTTTGTAATTTCACATTTCTACAAATACTATAATGATTGCTGCTCAAAAGAGCTTTCATCTTTAGTCCCATCAACAAAAGTTTATACTTGCTTGACTTGTAATTCAGCTAAGTCTCATCTTTTGCTGTGTCTGTCCCTGCATGATCTAAAAACTTATAGTCTAGTTTTTTTTAACCCTTTAGTACTCTCTCATCTTCAAGTTTTCCTGACTCATACAACCTACAACTTTTCAAAGCTTCTGTCAACCGCGTCCTTGCTCTAAAACTTTATTCTTTTTTTTAATAACTCCTAACTTAATAGTGGTTGCTTGCAGCCTTGTTAGGAGTGAATTAAAATAATTTAAAATAAGATGTAGTTTACACATTGATAATATTAAAAGACATTGATGGATTAAATGAAAAAATATGTATTATAATTCTACCATAAAGAGGATTTTGTGTGGCCGTGGCACAGTGGTTATAGCGCTTGCTTTAGAAGAAGGAGATCTAGGTTCGAAATGACCGCTGGACATATTTTCATGTCACAGTAAGAAAGGAGGTGTGAACTTCTAAAGAAGAAAAAAAAAGGATTAAAATCATAAAATTCTCCTATTTCTATCCAGAATTAAATTAATTTCAGAGTTTTCTTTTCTCATGGTAAGTTTCCTTAACACATCTGAAGAGCCTCATTTGCCTTAAATAAATTCTTTTATAATAAATTAGGTGGTTCTTTTACATTCTAACATCAAATATGTAGTTAAAAAAGTGTGTTCTGTCTGTTCCAGCTAGACCCATGGTTTACAAAATTTTAACCATCTTATTTACTTGCACAAGGACTCATCTGTCTAAGTTTCTAACTAGAAATTTGTATTTCTACATTCTTTACTTATTTCTATATATACTTCTATATACATTCTTTACATATTTCTACATATAATTTTATATACCAGGGGTTATTTTTTTCCAGATATTTCCGGAATTCCGGATATTTTTCTCAATTTTTAGTTTTTCTGGATATCTAAAACGTTTTCTGTACATACAAATTAAGGTATATATTTTAGTAATATATATATATTTTAACTTATTTCTCTGCACAGTGGCCTTATTCATCAAGGTTCGTGTTTCAGAGTTATAGAGTTGAGAGAGGGTTATAACCACTATTTAGTAGCCTCCTTATATGTAGTGGCCTTCTCGGCCTTGAGAAGGTGAATAACAAAAAAAAGTATATATATATATAAAAAGTAGGATGATACATAAAAGAAGATGTGTGCAAGTTCTTAAAACCATCTGAAAATATTGAAATAGTCTTTTTAAACATTTTTAATTCTTAAACAGCTAAACTCTATAAATTTTTGTAAAAATATTTGGTAATTTTTTTAAAAACAAAGCGATAGAAAATTTGAAACATTATTTAACAGCATCACATTTTTATTGTAATTTGTTTTGTAGTGAATAATAGTAATGGTATATTTTTGGCGATTGTCTTGATATGACTTTAATTTTTTTTTAATGGAATAATAAATGTTGTTGAATAAAATTCATTAAGTTCAACTATGAGAAAGCAATTTTTTCAAAAGTTGTTTGTTTTATCAATAGATAACCATATCTTTTTCATAATTTACTGAATATATATATATATATATATATATATATATATATATATATATATATATATATATATATATATATATATATATATATATATATATATATATGTAAATAAATATACATACATACATACATACCTTACATACATAAATGTATTCATGCACACGTGCAAACATGAGAATTTTTATTTTATACATTTAAATCAAGTGAGGTAGTATTTTTATTCATATAAACCAATTGTATTTTTAAGTAATAAGCTTTTTAAACTCAAGTTTTCATAACAATTATTCATAACAAAAGTAAAAAGATGAAAATAATTGTGCATTTTCATTTATAGGAAATCCGGATTTTCTTTCAACCCTACAGCTAAAGAATTTTGTCCGAATAAACCTGCTCAATCCAAACCTACCTCATATAATGTAAGTCTTCATGTTTAGTTTTAGCAAAGTTTTAAGCTTGGCATTATATTTTTACATATTGTTGTGAATATCAAGAGAGTTGTATCACAAAACTGAGAATTTATTGCACAACAAATGATAAAAAATGAATCTATTGGCAGAAAAAGTCTAAATAACCATAAAAACAATAATAAATCATTGAATTCTTTAAGTTTTATGATTATTCAATGTTTATTTTTATTTCTTAAACACTTTTGTGTTTCAAACACAAAAAAACATGGATACAACATTTTCAAATCAAGGTCTTGTTTTCTTGATATTAACAGAACGCAATAAACTCAGGATTATAATACAGACTAATTTCTTTATAATTTCTTAGTTGTATTCTACAACTGATATGATGTTATTATAAATTTATCAATGAAATTTATAAAACCTTTTTTAGAGTTTTCTTGGTATTAAAAAATTTTAAACAATATAACAGGCTTTTTTTTTCAATAAGTTCACTTCCAACAAAGCTGCAAGCAACTACTATTTAATCTGATTAAGTCTACAAGCCTATAACTTAGCTTATAATTATTTTTCTGCCACAAACGTTCAAGTTGAAAATGGTGAGAAAAGGAATATATTGTTTAATTATAATTAAACAATATATTAAAAAAGCAGAAAATGGTGATAAACATGGTAAAAAAATGGTGAGAAAAGTCTTTGAAAGCTGTAAGTTGTATGAGTCAGGAAAGCATGAATATGGTAGAAAGTTTCAAAGCATTGATGTGAGAAGAAAAAGAATAGATAAATTTTTTTTTCAAGCATTCAGTATTTAAATTCAGGATTTAAGTTATGTCCTACTGTTTCAGTAAAAGTAGGACATATTTTAAATCCCATTTGAGATTGAGTTTTGGTAGTATTTATGGTTCCCTATGAGAAGTCAGTAGTGAAAGTTAATCTGAGGCAACATAAAGTAGAAGACTCAGTTGCCAATATATGCTTTTTCATTCTACTGATGAATATTAGTATAGAAATACCAAAAGCATTGTGGTAGTTATTGTCATTAAGCAAGAAATTAGAAATAAAAAGTTGTTTTATGTCAATAAACTAAGTTTTGGTTCGCCAGCCACTGTGATCCTTAAGCTGTCACAGAAGAAAGATAGCGTTCAAGATCAACAAGATGTGACTTGTTGATAGCAAGAACAGCTGCCTGTTCTAAACTATCAACAAGTCACAGTAATCTTGTCCAGACCATAAACTGTAAAAGAGTTCAAGTAAGAACTTTAGCAATTAAAGCTGGGGTAGTTTGAATGGACTAACAATCAATTAAGCTGCTTCTCACAAATGACAAAGTTAAAATGAAAAGAAACGGAAAGTTTTTTGCTAATAGTTCTGTTTTATCTTGCAGAGATAATAAGATCACACTTATGTATGAGAAATTGAATATTAGACTTGATTTTATTAATGACACTGTTAAAGATTTTCCAAAAGTTTCTTGACTATATCTGCAATAATATATAAAATACAAGATTTAGTATTCAGAGATGGCCACCAGATCTGACATTGCATTGATATTTTGCATTTGCATTGATATTTTGAAAAGATAGAAGTATGTTTGTTCTCAAGAGAGTTCTTTTTGTGAAATAAATGGAAAAAATGACTATTAGTCATTAGACGATTAGTGTTAGCAGCTGAATATAAAGAAGGTTGAGCCAGGCTTGACTTTTATACAACAAGAAGAATCTTAAGGTTTTGTGCTTGTATGGAAGCTTTTGCTCTAGGATTTTAAATAGAAAGCACATTTTTTAGCAAAGAAATGAAGACATTAAGCCAAAGAACCATCACAAAGAAAATCATGAAAGAAATCCAAATTAGTTTAAAGTTAGTAGTAAGAAATGATATGTCTGTTAAAGAAGTATTAGGTGCATAGTTGGAACCACCCAAATGGCAACAAAGACAAACTGAACCAAATTAGTGTCAGAGACAAGACACAAATTAAGTGATTAGAGTTGTCTGGAAAATGAGTTACAAAGTTAACTATTTGAACAAGAGATTAAGAAAAATAAAAATTTTGTAATAGTCAAGGCATTTAGTCTGGTGAGTAATTTAGTCATCAATAACAATGATACTGGCTAGTGGATAAACAGAAAAGGTTTGTGACTAGTGGATAAAGAAAAATGGCTTGTGACAAGTGTAAAAAGTAAAAAGAAATGGCTTGGTCTGTTTGATCAAAATGAGTACAGTCTTAGGATGAAGAAAAACATAAAAATGAATATGGAAAGATGTTTGAAATGGTGCTAATTAAAAACACATAAAAAGTGTAAATCTAAAATGTTTATCTGGTACATCAGATTTACTCATCACACTTCTTACTACTACCTTAAAACTGACTGGGATTCCTGATTTTCTTTGGGCTGATGTCAGTTTCAAGTCTCACTGTCCCTCACCTCAGAGTTTTCTCTTTTTTGTGGAACTGCTATTTCTAATTGAAATCTTTTTTTAATCTTTTTCACAGGTTTGATGCTCCAGTAGGCAAACGTCTTTTTATTATTTCAAGAAATTTGAAGGTATTTCAAGTAAAACTTTCAAAGCGTAAAAAAAAATACCAATTTATTCTTTCAATCTTTGTACCAAACAATAAAAATTATTGGAAAATTATTTTAATTTTAAAACTGGTAAAAACAACTTTGGGCAAACTCAGTTTTATACTTTAGGACAACAAATTTGTAATTTCTCTAAAAGTGGGGTTTTTTGTTGTACATAATTTATCGATTTTAATTTTTTTGGGGGGTTCATCAGATTGTAGAAGGCCTCTTAATCCACAGAAGGTTGTATCAATGTCAATAGAGAGGTCTCTTAATCCACAGAAGGTTGTATCAATGTCAATAGAGAGGTCTCTTAATCCACACAAGGTTGTATCAATGTCAATAGAGAGGTCTCTTAATCCACAGAATGTTGTATCAATGTCAATAGAGAGTGCTCTAGTCCATAGGATATTGACATGGTTTAAATTAGTCATTAGTCAAATTAACTCATTTATTGTACACTTATAATAAACTTTTAACCTATACTGTGACTAATTACTGTAACTGTGTGAACAATTGAAACATAAATAAATCTGATTCAATTTAGATTCAAATGTCAGCTCAACCCCAAGCACCTGTTTACTTTCAAGCCCAGCAAACTCCTTATATGTTCAATTACGGTGTTTCTCATGATGTAATTCCTTTGCAAAACAAAAATTACCCAAGACTTGTATGTAAGTTATTATGTTAATAAGTTTTAAAAGACTTTTTATATTTCATTCATCTATAAATATCTGCCATATACTGTCATTCATAGTTTAAATAGAGTTTTTTTAAATTGGCTGAAAGGTAAGGTTATAGAAAGGTTAAATAGATTTTTTTTTAAATAGCAGAAAAGTAAGGTTGTAGAAAGGTTTAAAAAAAATTGAAAGGTAAGGTTATAGAAAGGTTGAATAACTTTAATGTTAGTACTAATTTTAATAATTGCAAGAAAGCAAAATATTTTTTCTATTTTCCAGAACTCATCATTTTATTCTTAATTTATCTCTTACTTATCCTGAACACATTCATTGTTATATTAATAACCATTAAATTAAAATGTTTCGGAACTTTATGCAATAACTAGATAAACAACAATTGTTGTTCAACTAATTAGTTCTCTATCTAATGGCTTTATCAATAATTGCTAATAAAATTTGAATTCATTGCTTGTTATATATATAAGCATAAATTAATTATTTAACATTCTATTCCAGTTAAACCAACAAGCAAACAGGTTTGATTTTAAATCTTGTATTTATTGTGGAACTAAGTTACATCTTCATATAGAATTACATATATTAAAAATAAGTTCAACCATCAATTTTCTAATAAATCAAGGATTTCCAAATTTATTATTTCAATATTTTCCAGAGATGAATAATTTTCTTCAATTTTAACTTGATTTGAGATTATTTTGTATAATTGTTACTTCTTGCCCTTAAAGGTTTTGCAAGATTGTGGTTCCTTTTTTTGAAGTTACTTTTAGAAATTAGAAATGTTTACATATTATGAAAAGAGTAGTAGTTATGTTTTATTTAAAAGTTGTTTAATATAATTATTAATTGTTAAAGTCAACAAATCTGCTTAAGACTTTTGCAAAAAATATTTTTCATACAAAGATAAACAGTCATCATTAAAGTACTTGTTATAGTTTGTTTTTAAAAACAAATTGTAGGCCATACATGGTTTTTATGTTTTTAAAGAGATTTTGCATAATAATTAATGTAGCTTAAGCAATTATTAAAGATTGTAATCTAGTCAAAGTTACAGTTTTTTTATTTAGATAATGTTCCTACTGTATATAGTGTTCCTGCTGCAGAAATGAACAATCAAGGAGCAACACAGCTTGCCCAATCAAATTATATACATCCTCAACCCAACCAACCTATATTTATTGTTAATAGTCAAGGGACATATCAACAGGTCTTTATTATTTTTATTTTTACAAAATCTATCAGCAATTAATATTTAAGGAATTTTAAAATCAAATTTTTTTTTTTAGGTTGTCCCTGGTCCACAAAGTCAGTATATTCAAATGGCTGAGGTATCGTCACCAGTTATAAGATATGTCAGTCACCAAGGTCAACAAGGAATGACACACACAAGAATGCCTACAAACTACCAACCAAATGAAGCTGTTTCTGGAAACTATATGTTTTCAGGTTTTTTTTTGTTTATATTTAAAAGATGCTCATAAGCTTTTATATTTATGTTGACAACATTAAATTATTAAATAAGATGTCTGCCTCCACTCCCCCTTGTAAGTCAGTTTACACTAGCGAAATATAGTAGATAAATATAAATATAGTAGATAAATATAACTTTAGTAGTTTTTAAAATGCTATATAAATTTTATATTTTTAATTAAAAACTTTTTAAAAATAAAGTATATTTTCTAATACACAATATTTTATTTAAAATGTTTCTCAAAGAAGAAGAGTAACTAAGGAACTTTTTAAACATGTGAAAAGATAATAAAAAAGCTTATATTTTCTAATAAATTTTAAAACTCTATTAAGTTAAAAACATTTGATCAATTGTAGCGTTGTTTTTAACAATTTTTCTAGAAAACTTAAGATGCTTAAATAAATAAATATAAAATCAACCGTTGCTTACTATTGTTTTTCTGATGTATTTATGATAGAATACAAAACATTACAGTGTAAAACTTAAAAAACTATTACTAAAACATAATCATTGTTAGTTTATCCATGAGATTTTTTTATCAAAATATAAAAATGATAATTGCTTGTTATTTGTGTTATCCGCTATGCAAAGAAAAGTACTTGTATGTCTAAATCCTTTTTGAAAAAGATTTTTGCAGTGTAAGTTATATATTATCATTTTATCACAATCAGTCAGATTAGGCAACCCTTTTCAAAAGCTAGCTTAAATTTTGGTATTTATCAAAGTATAAGTTTAATAAATAATTAAAACACAATTTTGTTTGAGTTTGTATCAATCAATCAATTATGGTTAGGTCAGGTCACACTGCAACTAGTAACATGTAATCCAGTACAACCTATTTCATAGCATCTCTTGAGCCACAGTTAAGCCAACTTACTTAGGAAAACTGATATTAACCCTCTAATTTAGTTCTGGGTAAGGGTAGGAGGAGCTCATGTACTATGGATTGTAATCTTCCTAAATCACAATAAAGATACTCAGTCCTGATCTTCAAAACGGATTAACAGCTTGATAGGCATTTGATTTTTGTTTCTTAAAATTAAATATTTTATATTGACTGTTGTCACGGGACTTTAGGATTTCTTTAGTGATTTAGGATTTCTTTATTGTTGGCAAGTTCATTTTAAAATGAGAATAAGTACATTCTGTTATATTGACAAGTACATTTATAATTTTATTAATACTTTTATATTTAATTTAAGATTTTTTACTACAAAAATATGTTATGTAAAAAATGAAGAAAATGATATCTAGAACATATAGACAAGGTTACAGGCTTATTTCTTGAGATACAGCCATTTGCATACAGAGTATACACTATTTATTGCTAAATAGACGTTATTTTTTGTATGGCCACCTATGTGTGATTTTTACATTGCAACACCCCTGATTACAGGAAAATTGTCAATAAAAGTATTTTTTTTGGCGGTTTTATTAGAAATACTTTCTGCTATTTCTGAAGCATGTTTTAAAACCTCATTTTGAAATAAATGTTTAGAATAATGTAAAATAAATTGTAGTAATTGCACATTAAAAAACCGTAATAAAAACATGTCAAATGCAATAAAAACATGTTTTTAAATTGGATATCTGCAGTTAAAACTGTATTGAGTGCAAGATGTAGACTTTGCATGAGTAGATTCAGTTTAATTACATGTGAGTTGGAGCAGTATTAAGTTATGGGTTGGGTAAGAAACATCTGAGAAAGCCATAAGAAACTAAAAGCATTAGTATCTTTTTTGACAAACTACTACTTTCAATAGAAAAATCTTGTTCATTTGAAACCTATTGAATTGTATATTGTTTCTGCTTGCACTCTTAATGCAGAAATACTGTGGACTTTAAAGGTTGTTGTGTCCCACTGTTCACTTAGATCATGTACTGGTTTAAGTGAGTTGTTTAAAGTTATGTTTACAGAAAGCGAAATTGTAAAAGGTTTTTCATTGAGTAGAATAAAATGTGGCTTTTTAATAAATTTTGGGATGTATCCTTTTTTAAAAATGCAATATTTAAGGTAGTTCAGCTATCACCTTTTTTTTCTTGTCTCCAATGATGAGTCTATGAATCGTATACTTCAAGAGGAACATATGGATATTCTAATTTGTTATTGGAATGAGTCCTCAAGTGTTGTTAAAAGTGGTTATTTGGATTCAAAATTTTTAAAACAACCTAATGCTGAAAATTTAACCACAGAGTTAAACGAAGCATTAAAGGAATTGGAGACGAAAAACTTCCTTCTCTATGGATGGACCAAGTACCAACTGGAAAGTTCTAAATCTTCTTAACGCCCATATTCTAGCTCTGAGTTACCATCATTACTTGATATTGGAAGTTGTGGGTTGCATATGATTTATGGTATATTTGCTTCTGGTGTTGAATCTATACTATGAAACTTAAAAAAGATCCTTAAGACAATATGGCAAATCTTTCATGATTTACCTGCTAGAAGGGATATGAAAAAGAAAACTATTGTGAAGAGTTTCTGTTGAGGTAATGGTATTATAAAAACATTTTTTATTTTTTACTTTTTTTAGATTTTTCTGTTCAACACGCTGGATTGAGGATGAAGCAGTTGCTAATCGAGCCAATAATACTTAGGGGGAAATGTTGTTAAGGTCTTTTATACTGGGAAAGTGTTAGCAAAAGCCGAATGCCTAAATGTAAATCGTAGGATATACTAATTTGCTTCAAAAGATTTTGCGCATCTTTATAAAAGAAGATATATTGAATGATGCAAACACTACATACAAACTTATCAAGCTTGATGTCTCAAAAAAGCATTTTCAATTGCCAGCTGATTTTGGAACAGCTGTCAAATTCATTTTACGCTGATGCGGCAGAAACCGCGAAACACAAGTTTAAAGAAGATTGCATTACTATGCTGGTTAAAATTGTTGAAAAACTTCAAGAAAGAAGTCCTTTGAAATATATGTTAGTGAAAATGCAGCATGTCTATCCCCAAATAATATGGTTAATAACAAAGAAGTTGGATTTGCTTGTTTCGGTCAGCTAGTTGATATTTAGATAAAAATAAAAAGGAAAATATTACTACTAAAAAAGCAGAAAAAAGAAAGTTTATTACTATAGAAATTTTGAAGTGTAAAAAAAGAAAGATATTTAATAGTGTATCCTTACCCTACACGAAGAAATGGAACGTTTCAGCATTCAAGCAGAAGAATTTAATTCCATGGAATTATTAGTTAAAGGCGATGCTTTAAAGTAAAAAGTAAAAGAAAAGCAAACCCTTATTGAACAGCAGGATAATGCTATTGGTAAATTAGAAACAGATTTAAAAAAGAATTAGTTTTACTAGGATTTGTTCTTATAATTTGTTTTGTTTAATATTTTAAATTGAAAGTATTTTTTTAAGTCATTTCATATCTTGGAAGAAAGTTTTATTTCAGTATAGTAGTTTGATTTTTTCAAATATTTATTTTTGTTCAACATTTAATTCTTGCACCAAAAAAGTTATAATTGATAGTTATTTGTTATTCAGAAACCTAAAATGTTGAGTAAAGTTATGTTAGCAATTAAAGAGGTTAGTCCTAATAGTACTTAAGCAATAGAACAAATGTTTTGAGAAAATCTACTTTGATCAGCCATTTTAAATCCCTATTTTAAAGTAAAATATTTTCTTATATATTAGTAAAGTATATATATTTTCTTTCAAAAGATTAAAAGGTGTAATTTTTTTTTTAATCTGCACAAAAATTTAAGTTTGTAATTAGAGTTGGAGTAAAACACCCATGTAGTACTAGAACCCAGTACTCCCCATGAACTATTATTGTTGCTATTTCTTAAAACCTTTATTTTTAAAGTTATAATTGTCAAACTTTGGTCAGCTATAATGCAAACATCAGATTTTTTTTCAGACATGATTTCAGAACTTTCTAGCAATTCGTTTTTGGTTTGCATGTTTTATAGTGACCAAGTGGCGATGGCTTAGTGCATGACAAGTATTGAATATTTTACTCTAGTGATTTGTCATAAAAGTTTATGAAGAGTCATAAAAAGGAATTTCATTTTCAAATTTGAGTGGCCACCCTGATAAATCAAGCCACAATAATTTAATCATAAGTTCATTAGGATATTTTTAATTTGTGTTAATTATAAATGGTGCTTTTTATCTTACATTCTCTAAAGTTATAAATGAAAACCTGTTTAAACCATGTGACACTCAAATATAAAAATATATTTAAATGGAAACCTGTCCAAACCATGTGACACAAATATAAAAATATATTTAAATAGAAACCTGTCCAAATATAATAATTTATGCTAATAAATTATGGTGATAATATTTATTATTGTAATGGTTGATTCTCATATAATTCCCTCTGGACTTAATAATAATACTTAATTCATTAAAAAATGTTGTAGAATCCCCTATAAAAATAAGAATAAAATGATTTTTTTAAATTTAATTTTATTAAATGTTTAAAATAATGTCATCCATTGTTTATACAAAGTTTCATAAAAATCCCAATAAGTAGCAAATAAGTTTTCTTATTTTCAAAACATTTTAACACTTTTTTTCAAAATGGATCAGTGATGTGTCTAAACTCGTTTTTAATCCCAACATTTTGCTAAGATCTAGGTAAGACAAAAATTTAAAATGCAACACATTAAAATTTAAATGATGAACTCATTTTAATATGTATTTTTATATTAAATGTACTTAAGTATGAGAATTGAGGGTTTTTATGTGCTAAGTCCAAGTAAATTGATTTTTAGAAATTGAACAAAAAAATGTTTTTTTTGCGACTTTGTATCTTTTGAAAATTTGTTTCTTTTATATATATATATATATATATATATATATATATATATATATATATATATATATATATATATATATATATATATATATATATATATATATATATATATATATATATATATATATATATATATATATATATCAACGGTTTAATTTAGTATCCCAGCCTCACCAACAACACCAATCACCTGTTAATCAACATTCAAGTTATTCTGCTCCTTCATCATCATCTCTTATGCAGCATGGATATGTTGTCAGTCAGCTCCCCAACTCTAACTACCCTCAGATTGCTTCACCAGTTACTCATCCTCAAGGTTTGTTTATTTTCCTAAACTGCTAAAATATTGGTTTCTTTTATTTTTGACAGAACTGAAAAGTATCTTAATATATTGCTTTATATAACTAAAGTAACACTATAGTTTGAATAATTCAGAAATAGATCATTCCATAAATCGGAACCAGTTACCTGTTATATTTTACAGTTACCTGTTATATTTTAATTATTTATAATAGATTTGAGTTAATATAAAAAGTTGTTTTGTTACTAATAATAGTGGTTGTTTAGCTTAAATTTAAAACTTTCTTAACTGTAGGTTTGTTTGGTTTCAATGATAGTTTTGATCTATTCTTAAAAGCTCTAGCTTTTAAATTTTTTAATAATTTTTTTAAATTTACAATTTATTAATTTATTACAGCTATTTGAAAACTATATTGAATTAAAAAACCTGAAAGTGTCTGGTTTCACAGACACTTTCAGGTTTTTTAATTTAGTATTCAAAATATCTGCTAAATGCTATTCTCTTATTAATATTCCCTTGGAATATTAATAAGGGAATAGCATTTAGCAGAGCCTTTAATTGAGTTTCTTTGGCATGCTATTTCTGCATGTATTAACAAATTTTAACAACAAAACAGCTTCAAGAATTAATGTGTGGTTTAAATATTTAAATCTAAAATTAATATCTCATTTTTCTTCATCATCAAAATCCCCCTATCATTGTACCTTATAAAATTACCTTAAAGCTGGCTCGAACTCTTTCCGTGATTTACTTTGTGATGGCCCTTGGGTAGAAATCTTGTTTTCCTGCTGATAAATGTGCTTCTTATGTAACTTCTTGGATTCAAGCTGGCTTGGAATCTTTTTTATTCCTCTTGATGATTCCAAGTCAAGTCTCACTCTTCTCCATAGTTTTCCTCTTATTGTGCTGCTACAATTTCCAATCTTAACCATTACTTTTATATCTATCACTAAAACAGTTCTCCAGAAAACAGACGTCTGTTTACTATAGCTAGAAACCATTGTAAAAATGTTTTGTCTAACGCCAAAGCCCGCTATTCCCAGGTCACAAAATCTGGTAGTTCATCTCCTCACTTTGCCTCTCGTGACGTCCCCTCTCCACCCCTTCCCCACCCCCACCCCCCCCCCACCCCTCTTATGTTAGGGACTCGAGAGTACCTGTAGTACCTGTCCGGAGTACCTGTCCGGAGAACACGTCTTGCAGACGTGTTTTCCGGACCTGTTGTCTACACTTTCAAAACTATTTAACAATGCTTGTTTTCCAGTCTGCTGAGAAGCATCTATTATCCCTATTTTAAAAAATTCTGGTGAGTGATCTGACTTGTCTAACTGCCATCTCATTAGTCTTCTTACTCTCATGAGGATTGTTTTTTGAGTTTTTAATTAACAAACAGTTAATCAGTCAAACAAGTAGTAATAAATAAAAAGTTATTAGATTCAAGATGAGAATCTTGAATCTAAAACTTACTTTCCGATCATCGATATGGATTTTGGTCTTCTCGTTAGACAGCACTATCTTGTCGATAAACAGCACTCTTCATATCCTGTAACTTCAGGGGTTCCTCAAGGTTTTATCCTTGGCCCTACACTGTTTTTAATTTACATTAATGATCTTCCAGCTTCCTTGACAACATTATCTATTATAATAAAGTTAAGCAAATTATGTTGATGTGTCTGAGAGAATGACTGCTTCCAATGATGGAAAAGCATATTGAATATCATTTCTTAACGACTGGTTGTTTTTTTAGCTAAATCTTGTTGGCAGTGTTAACTTGAACAGGGTTATTAAGTTTACAAATGCAACAAATCAAGCAGTCATATATTGACTCTAGTAGTATGAAGAATCTTGATAGTCAGACAGTATAATAGAGTCTTCCCCTAATCTCTTCTTCTTATAAATATGTGGCACCTTCAGGTGGCATTTGAGAATCATTAAAATTAGTTTGCTGTTCAAACCCTTTTTATGCCAAAAGTCATTTCAATTTTAGCTTTTTTTAAGTAAACGTACAGATTCATGGTGACTTTTCGTTTAATTTTGTATTTTAAGAGAAACATAGTGAGCTACCAATATTTTAAATATAAATCTGTACTGTTACCGTTTCCTAGATGTTTTTTCTAATCGAAACTAAATTTAAAACTAAGCACCACTATATGTTCAGAACTGTTATGAAATGCTAATATAAAATCACAAAATCTTCGATGATGTTCAATTATTTTAAAATAATCAAGTTTTCTCCACAGACAAAATAGATTTGACCACTTAATCCTTTACTAGTAATTTTACCCCCTAACCCTAAAAGGTTTTTTTCGGCTTTTAAAGGTTCAAATTAATTTTTATTTCGTGACACTTTTTACTGTTGCTGCGAAAAGTTTGTACAATCACATGACTACAGAAATCACATGACTACAGAAATCACATGTCTACAGCTGCATGTAAGAACTATGATAATAACTTTAAAAGTTTTTTAAAAAATTTTAAATTTTTTTTATAAATGCGCCATTAACTTTAAAGGCTCAAAAAAATCTTTTAAAAAATATGGTCCAACAATGAATTGGGTTGTTATAGGCACCATACAGTGACCATACGCATGTTTAAGGGCTTTAAGTGGGTTTGCCATGGATTTTCCAAGAAACTACAATTTTTTATTACTTCTTTAAATTGAGTCACCCATTGCCGAATTGTTGGTGGTAAAAGTAGATTTTTCCCTACAAGTTATCGTCAAAATCACGTTTTGTTGTAATAATTGAACTATTTTTTCGTGCCTGTATCAACGCTATTGCAGCTCGTTTTTGTGGAGTGTATAATTCATTAAAAATTTATTGAGTAAATAAAAATAAGATTGTCAATGATTTAATTTTTACTTTACTCTAAACTATTTGTACAAAATTTATTTCATAGTTGCTGCTAATTATCGCAATTCAACTCCGATTCACCAAGTAACTGCACAACAACCACATCATCCGCAGCAACCTTTCATAGTGTTAGCTCATCAGCATATGGCCGGAGTTCCACTTTCATCTAACCATGGTTATATTCAAAGTAGGTAGTTGTATCATAGAATGATAATAGAACGTTTTAATGTTATTGAATTTTTTTCGCATTGTTTAGATCAACACGGATCCGTTTTTCAAAATTGAAGGCCATACAATGAAAGGTAAAGTAACTTGTTTTAAAATTTAAGTTATCAACTAAAAAACTAACTAGAATATTTACTTATTTTTAAATTTATGTCATTTAGATATAAAAAACCTGGGTGCGAATCGACTGCGATATTTGTTTTCAAAGAGATTTTAAAAAAAATTTAGAAAAATTAAATAATTTAAACAAAAAAGTGTAATTTTGTAGAAACGATTGCTCCGTTAATTGCGACCTAGATGCTTATTCGAATTAATAGTTAAAACATTGAGCTATGTTCGTTGAGAGAAAGAAATAGACTCTACCCGCGCGAGATCAATTATAATTTATTTTTGGTAGAAGGGATATGCGATTTTTAAAATACTTAAGAAAATTTTAATAACCTTAGTGTAATTATTTTATCTAAAAGTGTTAGATAAATAGGTTAAAAGAAAATGTCTAAAAGTGTTAGATAAATAGGTTAAAAGCGTAGGTACTTTTAGAGAGGTGGAGGGTACTCAAAAAAGTGTATTACAAAATGCGGGGGACGAAAAAAAAGCGTACTTACTTTACGGACGACCCCTTACATACGTTGCTTTTTATGTCCAAAGCGGGATCTCTTAATTCGAGGTCATCCTTCCAATCGCTTGAGCCTCGAAAGCTAAGTAAATCAAAAAGTGGTAATCTGAGGCAAGCCACGTATTTAAGGAAAAATATATAAGGGCATTTAGAAAAGTAGACGAAATTTAGAGATGTTCAAGAAGCAACTATTTATTAATAGATGTAAAAAGTTTTTTAATATTATATCGTTGTCTTTTCCAGCATTATGTTCCAATAGCTACAACCTATAGGACAGACACAGGGAACCATTAAAAAAATCATTACCCACGAGATTGTGACGAGTTCAATATAAAATATTGAAAACATCCAGTATATATTGGCAGAAAAGACATGTCTGGATTGTATATATTTTAGTTTCGGTGTAGAAAAGAATTTCAAAGATTAATTTTATGTAGTATCTTAATGTAGTAGTATTAAATTCGGAACAATAATACAACGCAAATCCTACTATAAAACAAAAAACAAATTTGTTTCCACGGCGTTAATTTTTAGCCAAATATCTCCCAACGCGAATTGTTTGCGGGATTATCAAAACTAAGTGTCAAGTAGACTAGTAAATTTTTACGTTTGGTTTGGTCTACAATAAAATATGCAGTTAAGTAACCAAGGTTCATGGCTTAATTGGTCAAAAAGTGAATGCTTAAATGTGTTAATATATGCTAAAATATGAGTTATATTTTGTTCACGGAAGAGTATATGTATTTTTGAACATTATTTGTATTATTTAAGTCATGATAAATAAGTCTACAAAAAAATGCTGGATAAACCACTGTTACCTCTTATATATACATAGTTTATTTAAAATCGATACTTGTATTAACATCTTTCTTTTTAACTAGAGATTTTAATATATATATATATATATATATATATATATATATATATATATATATATATATATATATATATATATATATCTTGAGATTATTGATTTTTAAACTTCTTTTCTTCAAACCTAAAGTAATGAATTGTCTTTAAAATCGCCAACTAAATATTGACCTAACACACTAAGGACCATTAGTGGTATTTTTTTTTTTATAAATGAAGTCAAAGATAAATATGAGTTTATCTCTGATGTTACTATTTGACTTTTTGACAAATAATCAGAAAATTGGCAGCCATTTGAAAAAAAAAAATCTATATTTAAATATTTGATTAAAAAAAAGTATATGTTAAAATGTAATTGTTATAAAATTTTTGATTTATAGAGTAAAATAGGGTTACTAGTAAAATAGGATAACTTCTCCACTTATACCAATTATACCAAATGATGTATACCTACTTTTATAATTATAACTTTATTCAGGAATAAGATTTTTTTATAATTCAAATTTCTATTAGAAGAAAAATAAATTTCTTCTTTTTGTGAAAACTTAATAAGAAAATTAATTGACAAAAATAATCTATAAAAAAAATTAGTAATTAAAAATCTCAATTTAAAAATCTAAAATATTGGAATCTTTATTTTCATTTTTTCTTTCTAATTTTGATTGGTTCTAAAGTTATTACAGAAATAATAAATAGGGAATTTTCGCCATATATTTATATATACTAATGCGCTTTGATTGGATAATTATTATTATTTCACTCTTGTTTTGTTAATTAATTTCTCAGGTCATGTTGGTCTTATAATCAATTCAAATTAATTAAATCGATCAATTATTAAATTAATTAAATCAATCAGTTATCGATCAGCTTTTTTTTTTTTTTTTTTTTTCTTTTTTTTTTTTTTTCTGTTTTAATATAACATACGAATTTTACAACTTCGTACTTCATAAAAATTAAAAGTAATTAAAAACAGAAAGGGGCTCAAATAAGATGAGGATGACAGTACGTCATCGCAATCTTTTAATAGAGCCCTTTTAACAAAATTTCAATAAAATATCGTTATACGTAATAAAATTTCAATAAAATATCCTAATAAATATCGTAATAAAATGCGTAATTCGCTAATAAGATTGTTAAACAACAACAACAACAAAAAAAAGTAGATTTGTAACCAGGGGTGTGGAGTCGTAAAATAAAAGTAACGACTCTGACTCCAGTTGTCGAAATTTTTTGAGTACAACTCCGATTCTGACTCCAACTTCGACTCGAACTCCAAAGCTTTGAGGTTTATTATGAACATAATGTTAATTGAATCTTTTGTAATTGCATGTGCAATACCGAGAAATTTTACTATAGGAGTCGGAGTCGCAATTTTTTTAGCGACTCCGACTCCGCTAAAATTGTCGCAACTCCGCAACTCCGACAGAGACTCCACAGCCCTTGTAGTAACATTAACCAAAAAAGTTTCTCAAATTTAAAAAAAAAAATTTTTTGTTATAAACTTGAATGAACTTTACGAACTTACCGTATCTTTGAATCCTTTTTGAAAGGTATTTCATATTTTAGGACCTCGATATGAAATGCTATATTCTGAATATTTATTTATTATCCGAGGCAGTTTATATGTATTTAACATATTTGCTCTAAGATTATAGTTTTTATTTTTATTTAATTCAAACTTGTTATTAAAGCTTATTGGAGAGATATTGTAATTGTAACGATACATGAAAATTAAATGCTTATAAACATTTAATTCAAACACATTCATCATTTTCATATCACTCATTAAGGGTTTAGCGTGTTCACGCCTGTCCTTATAGTAAATGATTCTGCAAGCACGTTTTTTCAAACTATACAGTTTTTAAGCTTTGATGTTTGAGTACTTGACAATGAAATGTTTGCATAGCTGATGAAGCTATGTATTAGCCCAAAGTAGAATAATTTCAGGCTTGACGTAAGAGCGAACTCGATACATCAAACCTATGATTTTGGTGATTTTTGACTGGATGTATATTATATGCGGAAGCCAAGATAACATTTCATCAACAATGACTTCTAAGAATTTTATATTGGATTGCTTTTTAATTAGTTTTTTTTTTTTTTTTTTTTTTTTTTTTTTTAACATCTTCACTTCCAACAAGGCTGCAAGCAACCACTATAAGAGTTGGAAGTTACTGGAAGAGAAAAGACTAAATCTGTAGAGCAAGATAACGATTGACTGATGACTTAAAAGATTGCAAATTATATGAATCAGGAAAGCAAGATGAAGGAAGCAAATTCCAAAGAACTGATGTTCGAGGAAAAAAACTAGAAGAATAAGAGTTTTTGAAGCACTTAGGAACAGTCACAGAAAAAGGATGAGACTTAATTGAATGGCGAGTAACCCGAGAATGAATTTTAGTAGATGGCACAAGGGACGCTAGCTCTTTAGAGCAGTGCCTATTATAGTATTTGTAGAAAAGAGAAAAAGAAGCAACATTACGACGATGTGACAAAGGTTGGAGATTGGCTGCCAGAGCAGGTCCAACTATGTTTACAATTTGTTTTTGCACCTTGTCTAAAAGAGAAAGAGCATCATTAGAAGATCCGCCCCAGATGTGGCAACAGTATTCCATACAGGGACGGATTTGAGATTTATAGAGATAGAGAATAGAATCTGGAGTAAGAAAGTGTCGAGCTCGATAAAGAGATGCAACCTTAGCAGATGCTAATTTTGCAATGGATTTGATATACGGTTTAAAAGAAAGATCAGAAGTAAGAGTTAATCCTAGAAGATGAATGGTAGATGACTCATCTAGTACATTACCATTCATAAATATAGGAAGATCTAAATTATTACGATAACGATTGGCCGAATAAAATTGAGTTTTATCTGAATTAAAGTTCACCAGCCACCGTGAGCCCCATGCTGTAGCAGAAGTGAGATCCTTTTCAAGCTCAGATACCCCCTCCAAGCAATCAGAGAGTGTAGGCTTCTTATCATGACAAGAGTAAATGGTAGTGTCGTCGGCGAATAATGCCACCTTAGATGTGAGAATATCTGGAAGATCGTTAATGTAAATTAAAAAGAGTATAGGGCCAAGGATTGAACCTTGAGGAACCCCTGAAGTTACAGGATGTGAAGAAGAGTGTTGTCCATCGAGGACAACTTTTTTACTACGATTGGAAAGAAAGGACTCAATAATCTTAAAGACGTTACCAGCTACACCATAAGAAGAAAGCTTATGGAGAAGACCAGCATGCCAAACTTTATAAAAAGCTTTGATAAAGTTTGGCATGAAATGTCAAGTGCGATAGCCTTAACCTCTCCACCTCTATCTAATGCACGGTAAAACCTATCGGTTATTACTGTTAGCACATCAGCTGTAGAACGAGAAGACCGAAATCCATATTGATGATCAGAAAGTAAGTTATTTGATTCAAGATGAGAGATTAAGTGTTTGTTGATTAAAGATTCAAAAACCTTGCTTATGACAGGAAGAAGACTAATGGGACGGTAGTTAGATGAATCAGATCGCTCTCCGGAATTTTTGAAAATAGGGATAACAGATGCTGCTTTCCAGCATGATGGAAAACAAGACTCTGATAAGCACTTGTTAAATAGTTTAGAGAGTATGGATGAAAGCTCAGGAGAACACCTCTGCAAGACTACAACAGGAATGTTGTCAGGACCACAAGCTGTTGAAGAGTCTAAGCAGGAAATTACTTTAGATACAGAAGCTGAAGTGATGCGAATGTCAAGCAAGGGATCAACCTGTTTG